TCCTGAAATGGAATCTGGATTCTCGAAAGGCGCACTCTGCTCTAAAATCCAGGCAGTAAAAGCCAGTTTCAGCCTCTTGCAATATGAGGCCGAACAACAGCTTCGCATTATCTACAATTTTGTCTTAGGATTCAAAATAAAACTCGTCGTTCGACAACCACGTATGACATGCAACCTGTAAGAAGGAACACAATCGAAACAGCGACGAATAGTTATCATTGATAAAGGCTAAATTGGAAAAAATAGCCCCAAGGTGAGCGTGTCAAGCCCCAGATGTGCATTCAATGAATGTTGACGGGGAACATGAAAACATGCACGACACAACAATGCGAAACATGAAAAGTACAAAAAAATGCGGAGCCAAATGAAAAAAGGATAACCAGGTGGCAGTAAATCGTTCTATACTTGGCTATTATCGATCGCAAGGCTGCGACCGCTTTCGTTGGAAAAACGTCATTGGAGCGCGGTTGTTGGACTTGCCAACGTCCTGGGGTCTTTTCGGGGGTTATATCTCTTTGAGGGGCGCGGCTTTTGACGAATGGTTAGCAGCATGCAACGGGAATGTTCCTACAATTGCGTTTTCTACCCAGCTGCAATCTGAATGTTTCCCCGTTCGTGAAATATTTCCGGATGGGTTTCGGATCGGCTAGGGGTAAATGGCAAGCAGGTTTTTATGCTTCACACGAGGATTACTTATTTCGAACGCAATTTCATCAGGATTGAAACCGTCTTGGAACCGCCCTATCTTTTCTCTTTCCAATAAGCTTTACAGTTTTCCTGAAGACCCGCTAGTTCAGGAGATATTTTAGATCAGGTCACAGACGCGCTACCCTCTGACCCAACCGAAAGATCGACTCCTTCTTGAGGATACCCTTCGAAAACTCCTAAAACACATTATTTCGGCTTGAAATGTGTGAAAAGGAGCGTCGGATATCGACTGATCGATCTGGTTCGAGGTGTGGCGCCCGTACAATATGCACCTACGGTGTGGTTGAAAGGTAGGTTATTGATTTCAGGTGCTTTTTATCCATGCAAGCTGAATGTATTGTTTAGGTCTGGAAAGGCCAATAGACGCCACGAATTGTTTTGAGACGTATTATTTAGGTCATTTATTACCTACGAGTTCAGGCTATTGATTGATATTTATTTGTTTATTTATTCTTGCTATTCTTGCTATATTGCTAACCAATTTTTTATTTTTTTCTGTAGTCCTCCTTACATCCGGGTCTTCTGCAGCTTTCCGTCCGTTCCATCAAACTTAGCAATGACACTTTTGGACTGTTTGATGCCTAGCGAGAGTACTTTTTGCGATACCCACTTCCCCCGCGGCCAAGTACGAACCCATTTTTGGGGATTTCGCATGAAAAGAGGGCTGTTAAACGTAGCAGTTAAATCTGTAAAGAATACACTCATAATAATTTTCATTTTTTTAACATCTTGACTTCCATAGCTCCACTCCCACTATCAACTGAAATGTCGAAGCATTGCCCGGCTCTGAGTGACCCTTGAGATTACGACCCCCCCCTCCACAGTGGCCAAGTACGACCCCCCTATGGGTTTCGCGCAACGATGCTGTACCCTGCTCATAATTGTTTTCTCGCATTTTCAATACTAAGTCGTCCAGTAGCAGAAGAAAAAACGAACAACAAGGAATGCTGGAAGAGAAAATAGCTTTCGAACATCTTTGTACGAAATTAGGGCTACGGTAAGCAATGCACGTCGAGGTTTTACACCAATACGATTGCATCACTATCAATTCATGCAGTGCCAACGCATCCTGCCCTGTGAAGTAGACCGTTACTGCTTGCTTGTATGCAAAAGAAAAAGTATCTAAGGAGTGCATAACAACTCGTGTGCTCGCAACAGTCGACAGGACAACATTCGCGATTACGAGCGTATGAGATCGTACTTCGACGCAGGACAAGTCGAGCAGACCTTCATATGGCTACCAGGATTAAGCTTGACATGGCAAGCATCAACTGAGCATCAGCGACTCAATTTTGATAGTGAAGTGATGAGTTCTGAAAACGCCTTCATCTTCCACATCGATAAGATGCGATTTCGCCATAAACCGCAGCTATTTGGAAGGACTACCCGATCCAAATTCGTCCTCAAAACTGCATTGTTTGATTCTGAAGCCTGACACCAGCTCGAGGTTGTTGGATAACTGGGGTCGGTCCTACGATTCGACCTTTATAGGTTCCATACTCGAGCCACAGTCGTAGAGAAAAGGCAATAATTGGCGCAAGAGCTGCCAACCTGGAGCAAAGTCATTTTCGATACTACGGAAGAAGTAAAAACAAGTGAATATCGCTGGCGAGAGCTTTTCTCCGTGTATCGAATCTTGGCAAGTACCAACAGTGACTGAAAAAATGCGTGATTACTTTATATAGCTCCCCAGTAGTTGGAATACGTCTATGGAAGAGTATACAGCAAAAGCTCATTTACTGTTGAGTAGAAGATAATCTGGTAGCAAAGCACAAGCAAACTCGTTCTCTGTTGTGTTCAGTGCTTCTTTCAGAACTCGCCCACGATGTTTTCTCGAATCGACAAGCAGCTTGTGCCCTCGTTTCAGGGCTAGACGATTAGAAGAGGAAACTCGTAGTAGTCAATGAAGAACGATGTCCAACTTTTCTCAAAATATCTCAAATAGTATGTCCATCAAAAATGAGCGTTCACGGTTGTGTAAGAAATCTGTTACGAGGAGATTCTGCTCAAGTCGTTGTAGGAAGGAGGTTCAATTTGACTAGCCGAGAATAGATTTTGATGATCTGGAACTTGAAGCTCACTGATGGTGAGATTTCTCACGACAGCAGTAGACCATCAAGACACGTAGTATATCTCTGAACCGCGAAGCCTCCCTCCTGCTTCCTTTTTCCTCCCATCTTCCCTCTTCCCAATGTTCCTTCCTTCAAGTGCTTGGTCAGAAGATGCCATAATAAATGGGCAGTCCGGCGGCGGTGGGGGTGCACTTTGCACTTTTGCTACTTCCCATCGACGAGTCGACCCATCTGAAGAGCCTTTTCTATTTTAAATTTTTAACCTTATAAATTACATTTTCAGCCAAATAATCTACTTAAAATTTATAAATTAACCCCTTAAACAGAATTTTATATGTAAGTTGACAGGTTTAACCGTGGTGGCTGACAAACGTTCTCCAGCTCACAAGAGTTAACAGGTTTCACCAGATTAAGACTGTAAACCGGAACTAGTGAAGTGGAAACTGCCCCCACTCAGGGCACATCGTTGTTGGGGAATCCCCAACAGGGGGGTCGTATTTGGCCGCCAGGAGAGGGGGTCGTATTTGGGCTGGGAAAAATTTATTTTGATAGTTGATTTTTCTCGCTTCACGGACGTTGTAAAGGGGGGTCGTATTTACGTTTTGGCGTTGTAGGAGTGGTGGTTGACTTTTGGTGATTTTCCTGTTTCATGCGTACTATATGCCCCCCCGCTCGACAGCAAAATTTTTGGGAGAAAGTAGGAAAGTTTTCGGGAAATTTCGGAAAAAGTGGCAGGAAGTTGGGGAAAATCTGAAGAATTGGTAGAGGGGGGGGGTCGTATTGTCTCGCGACTTTTCCTGTTTCACATGTGCTATTTACCCCCCCCCCCCGCTCGACGGCTCGATTCGATGAGGAGGAGAGGGCAGAGGGCCGGAGGGGTCGTATAGACTCGACTAAAATCTCAAACCAATAATGTGCCCTGCCCCCAGCCCGTCGTAAAACTGCGCCAAATGAAATATATCTGGACCTTGCATCCAGCTGAAAAAAGCCCTCCGACCATCAACACACATTAAAATGTTCCTGATCACCTATCAGTTTTAAGGAATCACAAAGAAACATGAACTGGTGTAATTATTAGAGGAAAGGATACATTATCCATCACTAATTAAACGTAATCCTCCCATGCATTACGATAGACCATTTATCTTTCGCGAAGTCCAGCTTACTAAGGCTGCGTTTATACTTTGCGTCAGCGTTCACCAGCGTACGGCAGCGAGGAAAAAAACGGATATCGATCTGCGATCGCCAGCGTCTTCCAGCGTTTTCGCGAGCAGTTTCCGGGTAACTGCACAACGTTTTCACTAACCAGTATGAAAATAGAAAGCAGAGGGTCCTGCAGTTCAGTGGAAGTAAAGAACTAATAGAAAGCCCAGCGAAACTGGATCCGAAACTTGTGACAACTTCAAATCATTCGAGAGACCTTCCTTCGGAATTGATTCTCTGGACAAAATGCTTTTCATACCGGATTCAAATGATCAAGGCAACTTTTATCGCACGAAATCATATGAATTACCTTGGTACACCACTCACATTCTTCATAATATGGCTACTCAAAAAGACTGCTCAGGAGCTGCTGCCGTAAGGGTATCGATCAGGACATGGTTTCGATCCGCTGACAGCAATATCAATCAATTGCCAACCGCGTTTCAAAAAACAGTTTTCGACTGGTTTGCTAAGTGTTGCGATCAGAGCACACCCCGCTGTTTGGGGTGGGGGGGGGAGGATTTTTGCAGAATGCAGCTCCCAAAATCTGTCCTCAAGTATTTACAACATCGTCCCGCTCTACCTACCTAATTGCCTATCTCTTACTAAGAATTTTTCGAAAAAATTTCCATTTTCGTTCCCAAGGAGCTGGTATCGAGGAAAGGGGTCGAATCACCAATCAATCAAGTGTTAAATGCTATACCTGTCAAAAACAATGCTTATATAATGGATTCGTGGGGCCACTATCAAGGAGGGCGTTGTTGCACGGTTCAAAAAATCTTTCTGGAAGGAGAATACGACCCTCAACGGTGCACATGAGAACGGGAGCAACAGGCAATGAAGAAAATTGAAAAAAGCATTGAATTCTCAGAGCAAAAGACAAAAGTAGCTTTTCGCAAATCCTAGCGAACAATGAGTTGTGTTTTTCTAATTTGCGCAATCTATAAAGATTGACACGGATGTCCTGAGTTTCTTGAATACCGCTGGAACTAAACTGCTGCAAGACCAGTGGGATTGATGGCGACAAAGTCAAACAAGCAACAAGCAACTGTAAAGGACACCTCCACAAGTATTGATGAAAACCACGAATTCAACGAATTCGTCAAACGTCACGACCGCGCTTCAATGTTAAAGGCCGCCCGACGGCGTGGCTCCGGCGGTCCCGCGAGGATAGTCTGGATGTGCTACAGAATCTCGTCGACAGTGGCGCTTTTCAATATTTTTGGGCTCTAGGGGGGTTTCTTTTAATTATAAAGTTTTTAATTATTGCGCGTAGCAAGTTTGTTTGCAAATCCTAACGCCCTTGCTTAGCTGTGCTCTGCACTTGCAATTCTGGCTTGTTTTGATCCGGACCGTAGGTTCTTTCGACGTTTTCAAATTTGAACGCGTTCTTTTCGCCTATTGATTCCCCTTTGATATATTGCGGTGACCTTTTCCAATGTTTTGGTCTGACATACATTCGTTTCAGGTTCTAACTCGGACAGGGTCAACATGGTGGTTGAACAAATGCAGCTTAAAGGCACCCTTGAGGGCCACAATGGGTGGGTGACTCAAATCGCTACCTTCACCCATAATGACAAGACCACTGTTGTTTCCTCATCTCGTGGTGAGTGTCTCTTGCCAATAATGTACTCCTTTTTTTGTTATTTACTTATACGCCGATTAAATTTATGCCTACCTACATATGGCGCTACTGAAATTTAGTCAACGTAAGGCCTCGTTCATAGCATGCGGCAGTGAAGATGTGCAGAATTATAAATGCGAAACGAATAAGATACATGTAGGTTTGCAGAACGAATTGGCGCATTAGAGAAATGGACTGACCCAGTCCTTTTTGTCAGTTCTGCAGTTCTTCATTTCTGCAAATCGGTAAGGCCGCGTTCATACATGGCCGAACCACGGAATGTGCAGAACTGCGGAATTTGCCGTCGTGCGGAATCTGCAGAATCTGCAGATTCTGCACGACGGCAAATTCCGCACGACGGCAGGGAAGAACCAATCGATCCCTATCAATTCTTTGTCCGCAATTTCTGCATGTCGGCAAATTCCGCACGACGGCAGGGAAGAACCAATCGATCCCTATCAATTCTTTGTCCGTCATTTCTGCATGTCGGCAAATTCCGCGGAATTTGAAGAAATGCAGTTTTCAGATCGATACGTATATATTTCCTTTCTGCAAATTCCGCAGTTCTGCATATTCCGCATTTCTGCATCATGTATGAACGCGGCCTAACTACTAATCTTTTTTCATTGATTATTCAATTCGTAGTTCTTCCTTATCGCAAGCGAATACAAAGCATAACAGCAAGCGCCACTTTGTTTTGAACACCGCTATTTTTCACCCATCTTTCCATTGTCTGGACAGCCAATAGACCAAATTGACGGCAAAAAGCATCCAAAAAGATCTCGATCATTTCTTCACGATTTGTTGTTTGCCATTCAGCGGGATAAGTTGTCCGCACTCGACTGGGAATAGTAAGACAGACTTATTCGTCTATTGTAGGCTTTGCGTGACTCCGGGTCTCACTTTCTTCAAAAACGTGATAATCTTTTTTGAACGTGCGGGTCCAGTTTGCGTGAGGATACCAATGTTGGGGAAAATGGATGCCCATGTCACCCATTCATACTGAAATGCGAGAGATCGCTGTAGATGTGACGCTATGTGACTGAGCCCTGGTATTCTACAAGGTTCCGTCAGCCTTTCATTATTGCTAAAAAATTGTTAAAGCTCGGTTTTCGGGGAAGAATGATGTGCGCCCAGGTAACGAGCGCACCCCAGTTGGCTGATGGGTATCAACAGGGATTGTAATCGTTTTGCTGAATGCTTCGTATTCAAAATAAGGCACTGGCGAGTTTAATTGTCCGATAATCATACAGGATTTGACTGAAAGCTCACAAAACTTAGGGAAGGGGAGGGAAAACTTTTTGAAGGCCTTCTGGAGATTCTAGTCGTTATATAGTTCTTCTTTAGATCGTACTATTATACTGTGGGATGTGGATAACGTTGTCAGTGACATCGATGCGATCGGCCGGCCAGTCAAGGCCTTAACCGGTCACAATCATTTTGTTTCTGACGTTGCCATTTCCTCTGATGGACAGTTCGCGCTTTCTGGCTCCTGGGACAAGACTCTTCGTCTGTGGGATCTGACAACGTACGTTAGCTTCTTTTTTTTAATTTTCTTCGATCTCTTTCGCTTTTCTTCTTTGAGTTAATGCTGGCCATTTTCACTTGTTTCTTTTTTTCTTGCTATTTCTGTTACTATTTCTATTAATTGTTGGATCGATGGGTTAGATGGCTACCCTTCACTGCGTGACTGCTCGAAATGTTCCTTGTAGTGCAAACAGTTATAAGAGGGTGAGTGCTATCAGCGGAATGAATAGTGTGCGCAAGTATATATGCAGAATCTGTTGATGGGATTCCAAGGGAACGGGCCCGCTGCGTGCGTGAGCCACTTCCCTTGAAGAAAAGGATTCGAACAGTCTCCGGACCCTTTGATTTTATGGTTATTCAGTCTTTACTAAGGCTGCGCAATGTAGCTGTAAAAGCAAACCTAGTGACCGCTGGTTTGCTTCTATTATAACCGTTTTGTTATTGCTTG